CGGTGGTGCCTGCGCGCTTGGTGCGAGGGCTGGACTGGCCGCCTGGGACGGGACCTGACGCGGGTCTCTCATTGGGATGGAGCTGAACGCCACCTGCCTGCAAACAAGCCTCCTCCCCGTGAGCGGGCTGGGACTCTGCCTGCTGAGTGAAAACCTGAGTGATAAACTTCTTTTCCGTCTTTCTTTTTTGTAAATAAGCCACGTTACATCAGTTTTATCTTCACGTGGGCCTGACGAGGGCCGGAATCTGGAGAACCTGCCGAGGCGGGGGTGTCGGGGACCAGATTAGCTGGAGCCGTGGCGTTGCCTGTGCACATCGGGTTCTTGGGTTGCTCCAGGGGCCTGTGTCCCGTGCGTGGTCCTCCTGGTGACTCCGGTCCCTCGTGTCTGTCCAAGCAAGTGGACCCTTCTTGCCTGGCATCGGCTCCACCCGCAGAGCAGGGGCGAGTGAGGGGCCCCTCAGCGACCGTGGACGAGCCAGGCCCCTGAGCAGCCAGTGCAGGTGTCCTGGGCTGCCCGCCCGGTTGGTGGGGTCCCGGGCAGAGATGTTCCCGGGATCGCGGACGCCCCGCCCCCCCGCCTTCCGCAGCGGGGCCTCTGCCTCCGGATCGCTGTCTCCCGCCTTTCCGACTCTCTGATTCCTCTGAATCTGGCTCAGACCTGCCTCCAGCCACAGTGAAGCCCCACGCTGGGCTGGGGCTCTGGCCATTCCGTGCTCGGGTCCCGCATGGTTCTGTGCTTGTCTGCTGTGCTTCCTGGGGGCCTTGGCCCTGACACCCCCATTTCGCACAGCCCGGTCTCCTTCCCTGTGCGCTGACCCAGCTCCCTCGGCCCCTCTGTCCGCAGGGTCCCCCTGGACGCCCAGGCCTTCCTGGGGCTGACGGGCTGCCCGGCCCTCCTGGAACCATGCTCATGCTGCCTGTGAGTCCTCACTGAGGGGGGGGCTGGGGGGGGCTTGAGGCCCAGTGTGTGATGGGGGTGGGGCCCTGGGCTGTTCCCAGGGGGAGCAGTTGCCTGGCCACAGACTAGCCCCAGCCCAGCCAGGCGTCTCGGGGAAGTGGGGTCCTCGGGAGTGTTGTGTTGACACGGCAGAGTGGACCCCGGGGTCAGGGTCAGGGACACCTCTGCTGGTGTCCAGAGCCGGCCTCTCTGCGAGGGAGTGGAAGCGGCTCTGGGAGACACTGTGTGGCATCCGCTCCGTTGTCGCTCACCCACTCTCTCCACTTGGGCCCAGGTGCCGGCAGGGCCCTTCTTGAACTTGACCTGCCCATGACCTTGTGGGTCTGCCGAGGAGTCAGGGCACCTTCCTTACCTGGAGGGGAGTGTGTGGAGGGCTGGTCTGGACGTCGCTCCTCTGGCCGATGTCAGTGTCTCTGGGAGGCTGGGCGCAGGCGTTAGCGCGGGGCCCTTGGCTTTTCCTTGTAACAGAGCCATGGGGACTCGGGGCGAGACTCCGCAGATGCCAGAAAACAGCCTCCCTGCTGTGGGGAGCGTCTCCGGGTGGCCCCAGGGCTGACATCGGCAGCCGGAGCTGGGGCGGCTCTGTGCTGGCAGAGGCGGGCGGTCTGGGGCTGGAAGCTGCCCGAGCAGACCCTCCAAGGCTCCACTGTCACCAAAGAGGCCAGTGGGCACCGCCTCAGCCCTGGGGTCAGGCGTGGGCACCCACACCGGCGCAGCCTCGTGACCCCCGTCTTACACCCACAGTTCCGGTTCTCAGGGGGCGGCGATGCCGGTTCCAAAGGACCCATGGTCTCAGCCCAGGAATCCCAAGCTCAAGCCATCCTCCAGCAGGCCCGGGTGAGTGGTGCCGGGTCCCGGGGGGGAGGGGGCAGGGCCCAGCCCGGCCTGGTGAGCGGGAGCCCCACTTGGAGGGAGGGAACATCTCTTCCCAGCTTGGGTGTGTCCCCTGTCGGGGAGTCAGGAGCCTGTGGCGGGTCCGGTCATCCGTGTGCATTTGGGGGGACCCAGGAGACCACCAGCAAAGGTGGGGGAGGCTTCTCAGGGGCCCCTTGTCCACACTGAGGGTCCAGGTTCCTGTATAAGGACACAACAGCTGCGCTGAGTGAGGGGCTCCCGGGCCCCTGCCACCTGCTGAGCCCAGCTCCAGCTGTCTGCTGCCCGCCCGGCTGTGGGGATGGAGAGAGAAAGCCTGCGTCCTCCTGTGATGGGCTGGGCCGAGCCCGAGCCCCTGGGAGAGAGAGCCCGCGCGGGGTGGGGGCGGGTCCCGGGACCTCGCGCCTCCTTGCGGCTCTGCTCCTGCCGCTGCGCTGCTAGTGAACTGCGGGTTTCACTGGCGAGGCCCAGACTGCTGATCGCCGGGACGAGAGCCGCTGCTGCCCGGCGGGGAGGTCGTCCTCCGTGGTCCCTGGTCTGGGCCATATCGACGTGGCTCTGGCGCGGTGGATGGACGCTGGTGATCAGAGCGTGTGGCTGATTAACCACAGGGCAGCGGGCACTGAGTCATTGTCCCGGAGCAAATGGGCGTGTGACCCAGTCAGCACACAAGCCTCTCGCCTCGGCCTTGTCGATCGCCGGCCGACCCGGCTGGCCTTTGCGTCTGTGTGTGTTTCGGTGAAAGCCACGTGGGCAGTGGGCTCAAAATCTTCCAAAATTAAAATGGCATTGTGCAGGGGAGACGGGGTCGCACAGCGGGAGCGGAAGAGGCCCTTTAAGAAAGCAGGTTGGGCTGCGCCGCAGGCTGGGAGCGCAGAGGCGGGAGGCGCCGGGCCAGGGTCGGGGGGGTCCCAGGGCGTGGCGGCTGCCTTGACTGGTGCCGACTTAGTTCACCCCTGGAGGGCTGCCAAAGACCCCCAGCCGCAGGAAGCGCCCCTTGTGGGCATGTTGTCACTCAGTATGAGTGCCCCCAGCCCAGAAAGGGGGCTGCATTTCCAGGCCCTCCCTGTGCTGGGCGGGCTGGGGACGAGCAAGCCCGTTGGCAAGGGGTCCTGAGCACCTGTCCCCAAAGCGGGGAGGGGCACGCGCCTGGCTTCTGCTCCACCTCTGCCGTTCCTTTCGGGATTGGCCCTCGGAGCCCCGGAGGGGCGGAGGTGATGGGTCTGGGGTCCATCTGACCTCCTCCTCTGGAGGCTCCTGTCCTCGGCCTCGTGCATCACACCGTCCTGCCTGGCCGGTCTCACCTGTGGGGCGGTAAACCCGCTGCTTCTCAGTGTGTCCCGTTTCCTCTTGCAGCTGGCGTTGAGGGGACCAGCTGGCCCGATGGGCCTCACCGGGAGACCTGGCCCCATGGTGAGCTGTCATGGGGGAGCGCTGGGGGTGGGTGGGGGGGTGGGGGTGTGCCGCTCGCCATCCCCAGCCCGGTGGGCCCCCAGCCCACCCGGGACGGAGCACACACTCTGTCTCTCTGGCACCTCAGGGTGGGAGGGCCCCGAGTGGGTGGGGCCTGGGGGTTGTGAGTTTGCTCCCTGACCCGGGGGCTCCAGACCTCTTCCTTCGGAGCCGTAGGCGCCCTGTGCAGTGAAGCCCATGTCAGCATGGGGCGGAGCCCGGTTCCAGCCCCACCGCCGGCCCTGCTGTACAGACCGGCACACTCGGGCCTGCCAACAGGGTCCCCGGGGCTACACGCGGCCCCTGCCCCGTTCCCCAGGGGCGGACTTGGCCCCATCTCCCAGGTCTGCGTCCCCCCTTCCCCCCGCCATTGGTGCTGGGCCCGGGTGGGGGTGTCCACTCACGGCCCTGGGCTGCGGCTGTGACAGACCGTGCTCGATCCCCCGGAGAGGAGCGAGCGCGTCCTGGGCGTGGGGCCCTGCGCACACGCTGTCTGGGGCTTTCTTCAAAACTGGGAAGAGATGCGTGCCAGGAAGGTTCCTGCTCGCCCTCGGGTTCCGTTTGAGGTGGCAGGCCGGCTGCGCGGGCTGAGTGCTCTGCTGGCTCAGGGGCTCTGCCCGCCAGGCCGTCCTGTGTCCTGCCCGCTGCCCAGCCTTTCCCCGGCCAGCCCTGCAGCCCGTGCCCACCGAGCACTCCCTAACCAGACGTGTCTCCCCAGGGCCCTCCCGGGAGCGGAGGTCTGAAGGGCGAGCCGGGAGACATGGGGCCTCAGGTACGTCCCCCCCACTCCTCGCTGGGAAGGGTGCACCGGAAGGCCGTGCCCAGAGGCTGCGTTTCTTCAGGGACGTTAGTGGGGGCTGCCGCCCATCAGTGCAGAGCCAGACGTGGAATAGCACTGGTGTCCACAGGCACGAGCTGGCTGCGTCCCGTCTCCGCCCTCACACAGGGCAGCGGATGCCACACCATGTCCCTGGCAGCTGGGACGGCGAGCTGCGGGCCGGGGGGACCAGCATGGGGACAAGGCTTTCCTTTTTCCCTCTGAGAAACCCGGATGTGCTACTGACCTTTGCCCTCTGATTCCGGACAGGGTCCCCGAGGTGTGCAGGGTCCGCCCGGCCCGGCAGGAAAGCCTGGAAGAAGGGTGAGTGTTTCGTGGCTCCGTGACGGGGCTGGGCCGTGGATGGGCGGAATCTGCAGCGTGTGTGCCCCGCTAACGCCGCCTCGTGCAGGCCAGGCTCAGGCTAGCTGCTCCCCGCCCTTCAAAGGGTGTGTCTGTCTCCAGGGCTGGGTGGGTCCCCCGCCCCTGTCCCCAGCCTCTGTCCTGAGCCTGTGAGCTTAGTTTCACAGACATTTTTGATTAAAGCGATTTCCCAGGCCCTTTGGGAGCAGGTGTGGAAAAGACACAGTTATCAGTGACCTGTGTTTCTTTGGGGCAACCTCATTTCTCCAGAAATGGCTTCGGTTTGAGGGGGAAATGGCTGGACTGCCGCTCAGGCCCCTGCACCTCGGTCTTAGCCTCCTGGAGCCTCCGTTTGGGATGTAATCCTAGTGGGTGGAATGGCTTGCTTCCAGGCAGCCACGGCTACTGACGGAGGGCGTGCATTTATAACCTAATGCGAACGCGCGTGCGCCCTCCAGACGTGCTCGGGAGGTCCCAGCTAACCCACAGTCAGACTAACAAGCGGAGGTTTTCAGTGAGTGACGTGTTTCCACTGAGTGAGCGAGACACTTGCCCTCGTGTTGCGTCTGTGCCTGTACGAAGCTCTGCAGGGAACGCTGGCCGCTCAGCTGCCGCCTCCTGGTCTAGCTTCAGAGCATGCAAGGCGGAACACGGGCGATTCCTCAGTGGTGACGGGGCCTCCGTCCGGGAGTCAGTCGTCCTTATGAGGGAGGCGGTGGAGTGCGCCGCCGTCAGGCACGGCTGCCTCACGTTGCCCCTCATGGCCGCAGGGCCGCAGGCTGCAGAGGGAACCAGGCAGGAGGCAGAGGGCGCGCCGGACGACTCTGGAAAGGCCACCGAGGCCGAAGCGCAGTGATTCCTGCTGGACGGCTGTTTGTCCTGGGTCTGGTCCTGAAAGGGCTTTCTTTCGCTGAGCCTTCTGTGCAGCCCTGTAGGCAGTTACTGCCTAGTTTCGCTGGGAACGGCTTCTCAGCCAGCAGCAGAGCCCAGTGGCGTCAGGGCCGTGGACACGCACGTGTCTGAGGAGCTGAGTCTCCCCCCGGAGGCCCGCTGGAGGAGGGGGCGGCGGGAGGGGGCTGGGGGCCGCCCGGCGGCCGCGCTCTCAGCTCTCTGCTCAGCGGCTGCGCGGAGCCGTCGGCGTGAGAGACGCACCCGGACGGATGGCCCGGCGGGGGTCGTGGCCGTGGAAACGTC